TTTATCTCTTGTCACAAAACTGATGATGCTAAGCATATAGCTGATTTATTCTTTAGAGAAATAATTCGCTTGCATGGAATGTCCCGCACTATTGTGTCGATAGGAATGTTAAGTTCCTTAACTACTTTTGAAAAACTTTGTGGTGTAAACTAGGTATCAAATTGCTATTTCTACTTCTAGTCACCCACAAACTGATGGTCAAACCGAAATAGTTAATCAAACCTTGTCTACTTTGTTTTGAGCAATCATTAAAAAGAACATTAAAACTTGGGAAGATTGCTTGCCACATGTTGAGTTTGCCTACAACCACACTATGCACACTACTACATAATATTCACCTTTTGAAATTGTTTATGATTTTAACCCTCTTACACCATTGAATTTATCTCCTTTACCTGTTCATGAGAAAATTAATCTACATTGACACACATCATAGTCCTTTTAAGATATCGTACACTATGGAATCTACCATTTTCTTTGGGCACTATAAGATTAGAACAATCTTTATGCGCCTTTAGGATTTGAAGATACTTTTCCCATAATTCTTATTCTATTCAAATTTGATACTTTTCTCTATCAACTTATCTAAGTCCCAACCAATATTGAGAATATCGTGTACAAATCTTATATTATATGCAATTAGTCCTAGAATCAGTGAAACTTAGTCACAGTGGTAAGCCTTTTTTTAATGATGAAATAGTATATATCTTAAAAGGATCAATAATAATTTCATTACTGGATACTACATGTCCAAAGAAACTTAGTCAACTTAGCGTCCAACTTGCCTTTTTCGCAAACTTTTCAAAGACTTTATGTAATTGTTCCTTATGATTCTTTTATTCATCTTGAGTACACTAAGATATCATGACAAATTGGTCCACATACTTGGTAGGTATAATATGTATTAGGTCATAATTATTATGATGCATTAGTTCAAATGACAAGAAACTCATAATGGTTATAACAAGTGCTAAAAAACCTTCATCTTAAATCCAACTTAGAGAATACCTTTAAATCTTGTAGCTGAGCAACTCACCTATTGATAGAAGATGGTGCTTATTTCTTATAGTTACAACCATGGGCATTTATCTTATTTTTTAACAAATAATACAACAATTTCCTATGGTACACACTTAGTTTGGATAAATCATTATTCTATCATCATGCCTCAAGTTCTTCCAATTTGACTTGTGTCATCCTATGGGGCACCCTTGTGATTGGTTTACTTCCATGTACCTCCTTAATAACAAACTTCATTCCATCTTTAGAGACGAGTTTAGTTCTTGAAGAACTACATATAAATAATCTCTTTCCACTGAACCCATACTTTTTATTTTCTTGTTTGCTTTATTTGAAAGGTAAAATGAGTACCAAAGGTAATGTTTCTCAATAAACTTTGTGACTCTTATCCAAATAGTATCATATTAAGAGAGAATTTTATAAAAACAATTTTAGGTTGTCCAAGTGCACAAAACTTTACTAGTATTACATATAGTCTTATGGTTTTTCTAATTACCTATCTCAAATCAAAACTTATGTGGCAATAATTAAAGGAATGGAACCATGATCTTAAGTACTTTAGTTATTCATTGGAAAATAAAGAGTCTACCACTAATAAATTTAGTAGAAGTTTCTAGTCTCCTTCTATGGGAAGAATCTCAAGCTTGAATCCTAAACTTACTATTAGAGCTATTTCCTTTTTCCTAGACAAAATTGTCAGATGATTGCTATATTCATATGCTAGATGTTAACAATCCTACTAATGTAGGCTTTCTGTATATCAATAAAAATTTATCTAATATGCCTTTGTACCGTGTACTATTTATTTTACAATAGTTAGCCATAATATATTTGCATAGGAAAATCCATTTTGTTTATTTATTTATTCCATAAGCTATGATTTTGATTAGTAATTTACAACCTACATTCAAGACCAAGAACTTAATTTAGTGAAGTACAGAATTTGCAGCAAGTAAAGTCTTACATCTAATACATATATGTACTACATATTACGCAATTTATTTTTACAATGGATTAAATAACTTGTAGATGTATAGAGCATCAAATTTGTAGCAAAATGCTTTCAATCCCATAGTACTCAAAGTTGCTTTTCTTAAGTTTTTTAGACATATCTTATTAATTAGAGTATTTGTTTGATTAGTAATTATTATCAAAGGTACAACTTAATTTTCAGTGTCAAAATCTTTTACGATCATGATCAAGAGTTAAACTTATTATTAATTAGGTTACCAAAATACAATATTTAATACTATATAATTATCTCCTCACATGGATGTTTTACCTCTTGGTATGAGCTAATAAATATCCATAAAAGATTCTTTTCTTTAAAATGCAATCCAAAAACATGAGGTAAAGTTAATCTATAATTTGTATCGGTTGCTTCTGAATGTAAATTGCTCCAACCTCAAGTACAAGTTAGATCACAAGTCTAAACTCCTAAAAGGACTTTGCACAAATCCTAGCATAGGATGGCTTAATGCTTTGATAGCACTTCTATCATACCTCAACTCCACCGCCTTAAGACTTTATTAATAGTGAAGTCCCTAACTCACGTCAGGACTCATTCAGTGCCTAATTTAAAGATCAACAATAGATTTTGTTTACTGCAGAGACATTTTTACAATTCATCATTGTGCAGTGGAAATTAAGTTCTACTCAAATTCACTAGATTTTGTACATCTTTAATACACATAAGTACCATTAAACAGATAAATCACAACATAATGGAAGGATATGGTACTGATTGTCAGTGACGATCTGGTTCCACCTTATACCACCATCATGCGTTCAGCCTTTTTCTTCAACAATCATTTAGGTCAATTCCAAAACTGCTTTTCACTCTTGGCCCAATAAATGGACAATCTCCTGCCCAAGTCGTGGGTTGTGGACCAATGTGTGAAATGATGTTCAACATAACCCTTTGCTTGCTCGATGGATTAAGGCACATTATTGACATAACACTAGCACTAATGCGATAAAGTACACAACTGGTATGATCAAGTACAAGTAATCACGATACAATTCTTTGGCAAAACAATTTGTGAACATTTTCTGGTGCGATAAAGTACACAACCAGCAAAAGGTTTATTGTACTTGCGAGCCAATGCAATCAATCACTTTTCGGTGTGATAGAGTATACATCCGGATTCATAAGGACAATAGTGCATATGCAAATAGCAATGTGGAAAGTTTGTTCACCTTAAATAAGAATTTATCATTTAAACAAGATAAATGCATACATCATAATAGTTTTTAAACACTCGAGACTAGCAATCATTAATTTCAATTTATCTTCTTTTAGCATTAGGCTAACACAACTATTGCTATGGATGCACATCAGTAACTATATGTTTAATATGTAATAAGAAAGCTATTAGATAATAACTATATGAATGCAATATTATCACTACTGAATGCAATGGACACTTACATGGATTTTCTTATCTAAGGTTGACTTGTCAATGTCTCAATACCATCCTGCTGTCATTCTTTTTTTTTTTATACTCTCTTCCTTCCCTTTTTCACACCGTCGTCCACTCGCCTTACATTCAACTACAAATTTATGTTAGTGGTTCTTTGCCTTTGGTGTTACAAATGGAAGAAAAAAGTCTTTATTTATAGGATTACTTGAAGGAAATTAGTCAGCATTAGAAGAATATGGAGTGACACGTGTCATGCCCGTTGCATACGTGCACCAAACACGTCAAGCATAGGACACTTGTCATGGACACGTGTTTATGGAAAAGAATGATAGCACAACTTTTGGTAATTGTAAGTTGTTCCTTCAGGTTTAATCTAACTGCATTCAAGCCATAAGAAAATTAAGTTATTAGCATGTAGGACTTATTTTTTTTGTAATATTTTAAGTAAATGGATGTGCATACTATTTACTTAAAATATTACATGTAAATAAGGAAGTTCTCCCATCATGGATTCATTAAAAATAGTTTCAAGGCCAGATTTCTCATGGATTAAAAGTCAATTTTTCACACGAAAAACAAATTTCAAGTTTGCAACTCAAGATTTAACCTTGAGAGGTCTAGTCAATAGGGTTCAGTGATTGGAAAAATTACAGAAAAATAGGTTTCAACCTGATTTTCATTCCTATTTCTTATTAGTTTGAATACTCATTTTTTGATGTACTTAGTTTTTGTAGGCTGATCAAAACTTGATAAGTCGTACTGTTAATTCATAGTTTTCTCTACTAGAATCACTTTTTGGATAATTATAATGTGCTAATAATATATTTAAGAGTTTCGGGTATCACGAGCCCTTCTTGAGTGATAAAAGTAGGGGGTCTAAATGTGGGATCTTACAAAAGGTGAGGTAGATTAAGGAGAAGGAAAAATACAAAACATGATAGGGTATAATAGTCTTTTAATTGTTTTTCTTTTTTTTTAAAAAAAAAAATTTTGTAAATAACTAACAGTTGCATGAGATGGAGGATTGAGAAATTTAATGCTTGAACTAACTCGTTTGTGATAATTTCACTCATCAAGAAAGTTCGAGTAGAGAACCAATATCATAACTTGATCAAGGAAGCAAGAATCATAATTAGCATGAACTAGACTTGTCATTTGGTATAGTTTCAACAAAAAGCTAGTATCATAACTTGATCCAGAAAATAAGAAGTATAATTCGCAAGATCTAGACTCACCTGTTGGTATAGACATGGAGAGAAGCTAACATATCAAAATTGTGCAGTACACCACCTTATCAACTTAAGAGACTTTTGAATCAAGATAGGGCTAGCATTTTGATCCTATCGATATGTCCTACATAATAGGCCTTTGGCCTCCACAGTTTAAAAATAGTTTGGGGTTAAGTTGAAAATCTGCTAAACCTTAGGGCGTTTCTATAATTAACCTAAAGAAAAAATTGAGAAACTCACTATCGGTCGATCAGCATCCTCTACCACTCCGCTATTGACGAAATTACAATTACACCCTTCTCGCCTCCCTTCACTATTACACCCTTTCTTCCACCTCTCGCCAACCACCGCCTCAGCAATCCTTCTTTCCCTACGCGCACAACACACACTGATAAACCGCAAAAAAACCAAAAACAGAAGAGAACATAAAATATATGATGAATTATGAACAATCTTTTCTTCCCATTTTGCCCTCCCATCGCCGCCGGCAATTCCTTAGCCATTTTTAGGGTTTTATTAGGGAAACTCTAAGAGAGAAGGTATAGTCGTGGAGAGGTCTCCGACGAAATAAACAAAAGTAAAAACGACGTTGTGGGGGTAGTGAACTAGGGCTTTAAAGACAGAGAAGTTTCAAAGATTGAAACCGGTGTACATGGCTCCAGGGCGGAAGCGAGCAAAAGGCGGTGGCTCTGCAGGAGGAGAAGGCGGAGGAGGAGGGGGACCTAAGTCGAAAGCTCAATTGAATATAGGCGATCTTGTCCTCGCCAAAGTCAAGGGCTTTCCTGCTTGGCCCGCCAAGGTAATGTAAAGGTTTTGATGTTTCTTTTTTGTTTTTTGAAATATTCTTTTGGTTTTGTTTGGAAGATATGGAAATCAATTTGGACTGTTATTATGACTTTTGGTGTTGTCAATTAGAGAGAATTGGGGCTGAGGTTTGCTTGTTTGCTGTGGGGTGCTTTGGTATTTACAATTGGGATATTGATCTAGGGTTAACTGGTTTTCACCTGGTGTACTTGAAATTTGTTCGGTTTAGTGGATGCATCTGAGCTAAGATTTGATTTATATGGTGGCTGCATGCAAGAAGGATATGGATTTTTTTTTTGGCTGCAAGTAGTCAAGTAGGAATTGATTTATTGATATACTTGTATGACGATTTCTATGGCAGTTACTCGTGATTTAATGCGACTTTCTATAAGACTGTAGTTCTTGAGTGACTTGGATTGATATAATAGGTTGTCGAGACTCGTGCAAGAGACGTGTAGAATGTAAAGTGTTGCTGAGTAATTTTTGAAGTCAGTGTGAGGTTAGCCACAATTGTCATTTTGGATAAGTAATTTATGGTATTGGGTGGAGGTTTTGTTCTTGATTATGGAGTGAATGATCAGATGAGTTCAATGTAGTGTTAATGCTTGTTTGGAACTTTTATTGCTGCTCTGGGCAATAATTTTAAAGTAGTAACTGAATTGGTGCTTGAATTAGTGCGGCGCTGATCATTTTCGTTTCCTTTTAAAGGTTTTGATATGACTTCTTCAAACATTTCTTGTATCAACCGATGCATTTGCGTGTCAAATCCAGTTATATCAGTTTACTATGGTGGGCAAAGAGGATTGGCTATTTTTTTTACCACTGTTCTCATTATCATTGAGATTTAAGTTTTACAGGTGTGTTTGTCCTGGTGTTATGGATTTAGACAGAGCATTTGGTTGATGGTCTATTTTTTCCTTGTAGCTTAGTTGCTTTATAATTTTGGTATTGTTTTGGTATTTGCTAAAAGCCTTAGTATTGGGCTCTAAAATTTTCCAGATAAGCAGACCTGAAGACTGGGATCGAGCTCCTGATCCAAAAAAATATTTTGTTCAATTCTATGGTACAGAAGAAATGTAAGTGCCTTTTCATGTTATATCCTTTCATATTATTCATGTGTTACTAAAGGATTTGACTGGTTGCTTGTATCTGAAATTATGTGGTTTAGAGGCAAATGACATTTTGCTTGGAGAGATTTTGCATGTTTTTTTATCAGTTTCTCACTGTACAGGCTGAGAAAAGAGATCTTACTAGGAGGTCCCAGGAATATAAGGAACACCTAAGAATAGCAATTGATGGAGAACAGTTTATTATTGTCTGACTCTGAGCAGTGGTTACAAACAGTAAAAAATTGAGGAACTACTTAGTCATGTCTAGTTAGAATAGAGTAAACAAGTATTTGTCTAGTCAGCTATTTGTAATTGAGGGCATTTTCCATTCATGTTACTCTCTGTCCATGCCTAAGTAAACTCCTGAGTAAGTGTTGTTGGGTGTGGTGCTATCAACTTTGGTTTGTTTCATTTCTCTTTATACAGGTTTAGGCTTGTCCATAAAAGCTAAATCTTGTATAAAGTTGCTTAAATTTACCATGCATAATCTGATTGGGGTTCTTGGAAGACAGAATAGCTGAATTGTCTCTAGAAAAATAGTTATGCATGATCAAGAACATTTATGATAGTCTTCTACTTCACGGGATGCTGAATGAGAAAAATGTCTCTTTCATGCCTGACAGAACCCACCCTAACCACCCTCCAGAGGAAGTTTCGTAGGGTGAGGTGTTATGAGTTGTGACATCCAGATCCATTTCTGTTTACACGGTCTGAGCTTGTTCGCAGAAGCCAAATTTTGTATTAAGTTGCTTCAGTTTACCATACAAATTTTTATTGTGGTTCTTGGAAGACAGAATAATTGAATATTGTCTCCAGAAAAATAGTTCAGCTGCTGGTAAAAGTTGGAGACGTAATATAAGAGGTATTCCTAGTGATTCTTGGATAAATACTTTTCTGGCGTTTATCTTGAAGCCTTTTAGGAGAAAGGCATGGCTGTGGTTCTCGAGGTGAAGGGAATTTGAATTGAAAGGGAAATGAGAAAAAGAGGAATGCTATTTACCTCTTGCTGGTTTGGTGCTGGAGATTGAGATTAATGTAGTAAGATATGCTAGTGACTGGAGATGCATCTTGGTCGCACTGGTTGACAGTCATGAGGGATTAAAATTTAGACTACAGCAATGAAGTTGCAACTTTTTCACATCATCATTGCTGCTTTGTAGTTAATATTCCTTGTTGGGGCCAAGTTTTGGGCATATGAACAATCTGTGACGAGCCTTTTTAAAGAAGAAGAAGACACAGGTTCTTGATACACCTGTTGTGTGTAGTGGGACTTGGAACAGAAGAATGTATTTGGATTAATTGTTCAAGTTTGAGTTTCTGCACGCTGTTTAGTATATTGGTTTTTGGCTCTCTGATGTGTTCTGTTGTGGTTGACAAATTGAGAACATGCAAAATCAATGTATGTGTTGGTTTTGTGGGGAGGATAGGAGATGCAAATTTAACCTTTTGGCTTATCTAATAGATTAAATTGAATAGCTCAAATGCTCTGGTTTCTTTACATCTTGGATCCCCCTGCTTCCCCCTTCCTGGCTTCCCCCTTCCCGGGGAACTGGGTTGCTGTTTTATGTACAGTTCAGTGAAGATTATGTGTTACAGACAAGGAATTGAATGTCTGATTGTGGGCTCAAGGCAAAAAATTTTGTTTGGAAATTACTGGTATTTTGTGGGAATTTGGCTCTCTTATGCAGTAATGATGGTGTTTTTTTTTAAGCCAAAGAAATTTCCAACATGATTTTTGTTTTTTTTTTTTCATCCTTAACAAGAACCTCTATTGAACTTGCAATCTATCCTAAATTTTAATTAGTTTTGTTGGTGAGAAGATTTCTTTAATATGGTTTATTGTGGATCAAATTATCTGTCAATCTGCCTTGTCTTAGAAATGGTAGTATTTGATGTGTTTTGTGACGCTGAATTTGTGCTTGATGATAAATTTCCTTGGATTTTCTAGGATTTCTATTCCTATCTAACAAGGCTTCGTAGTTTGCCTTGTACAAATCACTGATCTGAACAGATCATTATCGGTGGAATTTGTTTTTGTGACAATTTTCTGCATTTAGGACATTATGACATGATCCATTTTTATCTTCACTGCTATCTTTGTATTTTTTACTTTTGGTGGTTGAGAGCATTCTTTCTGTATTTACAATCATTACATGTTCTGTGCATAGCTTCTGTTGATTGGGATCAGGACAATTTATTTAGTTAACCTTTTTGGCTTTCAACAGAGCTTTTGTTGCTCCTGCGGATATTCAGGCATTTACAAGTGATTCCAAGAATAAATTGTCAGCTCGTTGCCGAGGGAAGACAGTTAAATACTTTGCACAAGCTGTGAGGGAAATTTCTGAAGAATTTGAACGGTTGCAACATCAAAGTCCAAGTGGCCTCAGAGATGATAAAAGTCCATTGGCATTTGTAACTGATGTGCATTCTGCCGATGGGGAAATAGGTGATGCTATAGGGGCTGATCTAAAGGAAGTGAGTGGGAATAAGGGAATTAATCAGCCAACAGAGGTCAGAGGCTTGGGTGACCATGGCACTGGCTCTCAGAGACAAGAGGAGATAGACCATAGGGACATAAAGTCCACCTTTGATGATGGAAATGGGGGTTTGTCTAAGAGGAGCAAGTTTTGTGATGGTCGCGCTGATTTAGTGAAAAAGGAGGTGATGTCAACATCTATTTCAAGCCGTCGTTCGCTTCATAAGGAAACTTCTTGTGAAAGGAGAGTTGAAGAGTCTTCTTCAAGGCAAATGAGTCATGGAGGGGGCTCAAAGGTTAGTGAAAACTATTCTCCTGATGCGGCAGAAGAAGGTTTGTCAGCTTCATTGTCCTCAGAGCATGAGAACTATCCTGATGTTGCAGATGATTTTAGAAATGGACGCAAACCAAGGGTAGCTTCTGGAGATGAGGCTGACAAAAGAATTGGATTTGGTGGCAAGCAGTCATCTCAGAATTTGGTGAAAAGTGATGGTGGGAAAAAAGTGAAAAAATTGTTGAAAGATAATAAGAATTTTGATCTGAAGGATAAGCCTCAGATAGATGTTGAAGAAAGTTCTGTTGATGAGGTTAAGTTTTCCAGCAAGAAACAAGGGCAAGGAAAACAAATTTCAAAAAGTAATGAAGTCTTAGATCCTGCCAGAAGGTCAAAATGTGATGATGTGACTGATGATTCCAAGGTGTCACTGCAAAGCAGAAAGGTTGAGGCCCAAATGAAGAATAAAAAAATGGTAGAAGTAGAGGGTAAAAGGTCTGTAGTGCTGGGGAAAGGAGAAAGTCAACTGGACATGAGAACTCTATCGAGCACTACTGATTCCAATATTTCTGGTGATGAAGATGTTCTCCCTCCACCAAAGCGCCGTCGTCGTGCCATGGAGGCTATGTCCACCGCCTCTGCTTTGAATTTTGAAACTAGAATTGGAAGAAGTTCTGCTGTACTGAAGAATGACATGTCAAGGCGGAGAGCTGTTCGCCTATGCGATGACGACGAAGAAGAAGAGCCCAAAACTCCTGTTCATGAAGGGTCTACAAAGAAAGTCTTGGCTACTGTGCATGGACCGGTTTCTACAAAGAGAGGCGACGTACATACTTCTTTTTCTGATCAATTTAGCAAAAGAGGTTCTGGTCCACCTGAGGGTCAATCTTCTAAGAAATTGGTAGTATCTGGTGATCAATTGGTTGAGCACTTGTCTCCTAATTCTCAGCAAACTGAGGAGAAGAAGCAAGGGAAAGCAACGGCTTTCCACATTTCTAATAGTCCTGGAAAACTAGAGTCTGAGAAAGTATCTCTCAAGGAAAGTAAACAGGTTTCTGTTTCCCCTAGAAGTTCCCCTCTCTCTTTTTCTGCTGTTAAATCAGTGACAGACCTTCAAAAGTCCTACAAGCTCTCGGGTAAGGTTCCTAGCAACATGCATCAGAGAAAGGCTACGGCATCTGACCCTGGTGTGACTTCTGAGTGCTTGAACTCAACAGCTAATCAGCAAAATGAAAGATGCACGCCAGAAATTTCCGCAGACAGAAACAAAGCTACTCCAAAATCACATCCTAAGACCAATGATGTTCCTCTTCCATTAGGAATGACGGAAAATCGTTTCTTACAGGGGGAAAGGTACTGTTGTGTTTAGGCTTTTTGAGTCCTCTATTTGAAATTTCTTGTATTCTGATCTCATTTTCATTCATTGTTCTGCCAACAAACAGATCTGAAGATGGTAAAGATGACAAACTAAGTTCGTCAATTGATCAAAGATCTTCGGATTCTGTTTTGTCTATGAAACATCTTATTGCAGCTGCTCAGGCCAAAAAGAAACAAGCTCATTTGCAGAACTTCAGTGACAACCCTAATTTTCTTCTGGCACTAAACACTGATGAACCGGTGAGGACCCCTAGCCCTGCTCCTGTTGCTCAGCCTATGGGGTCCAGCAGCATGGCACCTTCAGATGTACAGGGATTTCTTCCTAAATCATCGATGATTTCTCCTCCATCTGATGTATATCATGCTTCGTCAACTAATCAACATGACACTGAAGAATTTGTAGAGGGGATTAGTTCTGGGCATCGGACTGCTGGGGGTTCGCTTAGTGGTGGTACTGAGGCTGCTGTTTCTCGTGATGCCTTTGAAGGAATGATAGAGACATTGTCAAGGACAAAAGACAGTATTGGACGTGCTACACGTCTTGCTATTGATTGTGCAAAGTATGGCCTTGCCAATGAGGTAGGTGTAACTTATGATTTGAACTGTTTATCATGGGGATTCTTGTGGCATCTTTACTTGTTCCCTGAGGATAGGCAAAACTACAATTTCCACTTCAGATTTTGGTATTCATAGGAAGTAGTTAAATATATTCTGAAAAAAAGCATAGTAGCTATGTGTGAGAAGTAAAGAAAACAAAATGTTGGACCCTGTGTGTTCCTGGAAATGTTACCAAATATTTGAATTATAGATCCAGGTTTTGGAGACATACTGCTGACTTCCTCTTTGATGCTTTGTTTAGACAGGAATTTGACAATATAATTTCTAGAATTTTTATTAGTGAATGTGTTTTTGTTTTTATTTTTGGTACCTAAAATTGTAAAATCTCCAGATTTTTCACAGGATCTCAAGAAATATCTTCAGAAAATGTTGGTCTTTGAAATTTTTGCTTGTGTTGGTTTTCTAATTTGTTCTATTTAAGATTTTAATGTTGTGTTGAAATTCTTAAACTGAAAAGAACAACATATACTTAAATCCTTTAAGGAGAAGAACACCTGCTTTGGAACTTGTATCTTCTTTGAGGACTTTGTTTGCAGTAAGATGCCTGGTGTTTTGTAGGAGTCTGACTCCCTTTTCAAGCCTAACTTGTGTCTTCTCTCTTTTATGGTATACAACCAACTGGTGGTTATTGAATACTTGAGAAAATAGAAATCATAATCAAGAGCAATAGATGACATTGCATTACCTTATGGTAAAACTTTGGACATGATATGATTGGAGAGGCAATGTGGGAATTTATGTTAGTATATTATGAAACCAAAAGGAAGATATTAAGATGTTTTATAATGTTTACTGGTTTAGGAAGGGTAAAGGTTTATTCTAGTAGTACTCTTTTCGTAGGGCTTTTGAATTACCTACCATCTGGTCACTGTTTGTTTGGTCAAGCCTAGCAAAAATCAATCGGCCTTTGGTGGTAATGGCTGATTGGACGTTGGCCATTGTGCAAAGCAGAATTTTCACTGGTAGATCATTGAAAAATTTGTCAAAGGTTGGGCAATTTATCAGCGATTATGTGGGATATAGGTTGAATGGGGCACTGTGGTGCTTGTCTGGCTGTGACTGGTGTTCTGTTCCTTTGGCTGTCAGATTTTGGTTAGAGAATGCATTGGAGCCATGGCTATTTGAATGCTGCCTGGTGAGGCTGTCTCTCATTTTTGTGGGTTTAACAGCTGTGAGCAGCTGCCAGATACTTCTTTGGGTGGTTGTGTTCCAATTAAGCATCTGCTTAAATACACTTAAGCACAAAAAATTGGTCTTTTCTAGTTTATCAATACAGAGCCCTAAGTACCATCAACTGCTGCAATGAAGCTGTGGAGTTTTGAACATGAAGCTTGTGGAAGAAACTAAATGCACTCATAGAGATCAAAGAAGGCTTTAGTGATATTTCACTGATCTACCTTTTCTTTTATCTTTCTAGCTAGATTAGACTTTGATTTCATGGACTGAGTTACCCTGTTAAAAAAGAGTGGTGGGATGGTAGCTACCAAATCCCTGTTGAGGTGCTTGTGGAGACTTGTGGTTGATATTGAGATTGGATGTGTAATATACGTGAAAACTGGTGTCAAGGGGTGATTTGTTTGTAAAAGGGATTTCGATGTCACTGTCAATATGGAATATAGGAGATTAGTTTTAGTGTTCAGTTCAAGAACAATGAAGAAGAAGAATATGAAGGAGGTCAAAAAGATAAGGGGAAGAGGATAAAGGGAAAAAGCATGGATATTGTTGTTTGGGTTAAATTTGGTTCATGGTGTCAATCCAACCCGATACCATTTGGGGTATCGGGTTGGATGCCTCCATGTGAATGGTGCTGGCATTATACGCACTTTGCAGTCATCTTTGGGTAACTTTCACTGTAGAGCTTTTAATGTCAAAAGAATTTTAGCACAAGCTGGAAATTGGTGCTTTTGATATAGCTCTCCAATTTGAGAAGAATTAATAGCCAAGTTTTATTAATTATCCTAGCAGTCTCTATGTAAAACAATGATAAAAGTATTTCTTGAAAATTACATCGAAATTTTAATGCCCACCAAAAGCATTTCCATAGGAATACTGCTGAATAACATAATTAATTACTTTTGAATGAACTGGTGATAAAAGTACTTTTCACTAAGCCATTGCAATCCCAAATGGGGCCTAACTAGTTGGTGCATCCTGTCATGCAACTTTCTGCTTACAAGTACTTTCAATTAAATAGTTTCTACTTTTTTAGGGTAAATAGTTTCAATTAAATAGTTTCAACTGTCTGCTTACAACTGTCTGTTCATGGACCATGATTTTCTGATCCTCTTCTTCCCATTCGGGTATCCTGAAATTTAAATGTCTCAGAGGCTGACCAATTGTAAAATGATTCACAGAAAAATGTGGATGGTTCATGAACTGGCAATATGAGTCCCTTATCAGTGTTGTTAGATGCTAAAAGATTGAATTCTAACAATTGAATCTCGCATTGTGGTTGAGTTCTGTAATTGCAGGTGCTTAGATTGATTGTTAATGTTTACTTCCCGTGTCATACAGGTGGTTGAACTTCTCATTCGGAAATTGGAGAGCGAGTCAAGTTTTCATCGGAAAGTGGACCTGTTTTTCCTTGTGGATTCAATAACTCAATGCTCTCATAGTCATAAAGGTAGGAATGTGTGGAAAATACATTAAAATCTATCTGTCTTGCCCTTGTGGGGCATCATTTGAGATTGCTTCTTTCTCTTTGGAATCTTGTTTTCCACTGCTATTTCAGCTCTACTTTGTATTATTCTTGTATTTATATTTATCTATAGTTTCTAGTTGGCTCTGGTTTTTTCTGATATTTATATTCTTGTGTGAGGATCCAATGGTCATGCTAATGTTTTCTTCATCCTGTCTCATGTATTCTGCACTGATTGTATTGGATGACCATTTTGGTCTTCCTTGCTATATTTCCACAGGCATTGCAGGAGCTTCTTACATACCTGCTGTTCAAGCAGCACTGCCTCGTCTCTTAGTTGCTGCTGCACCACCTGGACCCGGTGCTCGTGAAAATCGTCGTCAGTGTCTAAAGGTAATTACATTTAGGTCTTCATGTAATTGTACATATCTGCAAGAGAGCCTTCCAAGCTTGCAGAATGTTTGAGTTAACCTCAATAAATCTCTTGTAGGTTCTGCGGTTGTGGCTTGAGAGGAAAATTTTGCCTGATTCTCTTCTGCGACGTTATATGGAAGATATTGGAGTAGTAAGCGATGATACATCTTCTGGGCTGTCCCTTAGACGTCCATCCCGAGCTGAGCGGGCTATAGATGATCCTATTAGGGAAATGGAAGGCATGCTGGTTGATGAGTATGGGAGGTCTGGTTCATGCTCAGCATTTCTTTTTGACTGAATTTCTCCATCAATTTACTGTCCCCTATCAACTTGCATTTGCTATTTAATTCACGTGGTTGAGCTATATGAGCTGCCTTGGTTTCACAAAATTTTGTCTATATCCTTTAAAGAGCGACTTGCTGGGAGGATATGGTTGCTGCCAGAAATTGGTTGTTTTAACAGTCATCATGTTATATCATAGTATTTTCATGTTGTCAGATAATTTTTGTGGTGCTCATTGTTCAAAATAGGGAAATGTGATGTTAGTGTCCAGGTCTTAACTAATTCCTTGTTTCATTTCTGTTTCCTTATTTCTCAAAATCAACATGTCTTGACAATCTTTATTTGTTTGGACAAACCAGATAGAGCTTTTCCTGAAGGGGGCTAGTTGGGCTAGATTTAGAGTTGCTAATGAAAGCTTGTTATTTGCGTGTTGAGGGTGGTTGTAATACATGATTGCTTGGTTGTTAAAGTTATCTAGGTTTATACTGGGTATAGATCTTGTGGCAGGAAACCTTTAGATTCTTTTGTGTGTCGTTTCCATAGTTTGTCTAACCTGTTTGTGTTGCTTTTTTAAATCAAAGAGTGAAAACTAAACTCATCTTCCACAAATTATATGTGCAAGTTTGTATTGTGCACTGCTGCATTATAGTCTTAGTGAATTGTTCCCTCGAACAAGGGAGAAAATGGGATATGGAGGTGTTATTATGATGTAACAGCCACCAAGTAGAGCTTCGCCAGTAGGGTTTGGTTGTTGTATCCCCGTATTTTGATGTTTTTTCAGTTCCTCGTTGTTCTGTGATTTTTAATGTTCTGCCCTTTCTTGGATATCTAAACTGAAATCTCTCTATTCCCAGTACCAGTGGTATCCCATGGGATGTCCTTTATGTAATATTGATCATTAATATTGGCAGGAGTATACATGCTCTGTTGATAAACTCAATTTCCAACTTTTGTATTGGGATTATCCAATCACCTTTTTCACAGTTTTTGAAGAATATGTTGAATGTTGCTTGGATACAGATGTATGTGTTGCTTGCATTCTGCTTGGTCTCTTCTTTTGGCTATGAATTGAAAGTTGAATATGATTCTTTCTTTTGATAGATCCTAAGTTTTTAATTGTATTTTCTGTTCTGATATCTGTCTAACCTTTTTTTTTTTTGGTTTTTCCTCCCTAGCAATGCTACATATCAGTTGTCTGGATTTTTCTCATCTCATGTCTTCGAAGAAGAAGAGGAAGAGGAGGAAACTCACCATACTGCGGTCCAGGAAGCTGCAGATTTATCACCTCCGCAACGTACCCCTGCCGCAGGAGATTTTGACAATTATAATTTCACTCCAAATGAGAAACGTCACCACATCTTAGAGGATGTCGATGGTGAACTTGAAATGGAAGATGTTTCTGGACACCAGAAGGATGAAAGATCACCAATGACTGGTGATACCTTGGGGACTGATCCAAGTAATGTAACTTCCGTCAAGATTGGCGAATCAACTCTAAGCATACCTTTTGAATTGCCTCCTCTTCCTGAGGGTTCTCCACCTCTGCCTCTAGATTCTCCTCCAGCAACCCCACCTTTGCCATCTTCACTGCCTCCGTCACCTCTGCAGCCTCCAATGCCACCTGCAATGCCCTTGTCTCCGGCTCCGGCTCCGGCTCCGGCTCCAGCTCCAGCTCCAGCTCCTCCACCACCGCCCCTCTTGCAGCCACATGCAATTCTGCCGTCTATTGGTCTTCCTCCCCCAGTATTGCCTCAACCATCTTTACCACCTCAGCCTTCAATGGCCTCTCAACATGTAAACCTGCTTCCATCTTCAAATTTAGCCTCATCGGTGGCAGCATATCAAAATGGTCCTGTGCTACCGGAAATTGGTGGAAACCCTGGTGTAAGACTTCCAGCTTTCCTTTTCTTCATATTCTCACTGCTACTCGTCTACCAGGATTATGTGATAGTGTGGTTTGTAAATTTTTACTATTGTTATTTTTGTATCTAACAGGTGAACCCTCTTACAAAAGTGGCTGGAAATGCTTCTCACGGACCTCCTGTTGATGCATCTGTGAGAAATGAAATGTTTGCTCAACAGGGACCTAGCTTTGTGCCAATTGGTGTAGGAACCACACAAGAACCCTCTCGATATAGTTCAACTAGGTCTTTGGAATATGGGCATAGTAACATGTATGCAAATTCACTAGCTTCTCAACCCAATATGCAATTCCAGCCTGGAAATGTGCCTTTCACTCAAAGGCCTTTGCCTCCAAACCCCCCACCTCAAGGTACACCAAGTCATTTCTCATATCCAGTGCCCACAATCCGGCATCATTCTCCCGCTGTTCAGCATCATCCTCCTCCGATTCAGAATCCCTTGCCTCCTGTGCAGCATCCTCCACCTCACTCCTATACTCTGCAATATTCTGTGCCTAATTTTGCTGATGGATCAAGGCATTTTTCTGTTGATGAACAATGGAGGATGAGACCTAGTGACTTGAACTCTGATCAGCGTGGTGTGTGGATGCATGGAGTGAGATCATGTTCGGGTCCAGCTTATACCCAGGATGGTGCGTATGCTTCATTTATAATATAACATTTCAAAGTCAAAAGCTTACAACTTTATTTGTCGTATAATAATATTAAATTGGCAACGTAACATATTTTTGACGTTGGAGTGTTAATGCATAAAGCTTTGCCTAGATTGGCCTGGTTATTTAGTTGCTCTAAAGAGTGGTGTCTACCTCAAACTGTTGTTTATATATTCATTCTGCTGCTTTGATGTATCACAGAACTTATATATTCATTTAGCTCATATGTTGCATTTAACGATATTGGTGGTGGAGGAAAGTAGAGATGGTCCAAGTTGCTGTTTCAATGTCATCGATGATGAGGCAAATATTACTTGGTTTTGGTGTTTCACACTTTTAATCTGTGGACTATTATATTCCTGCTGTACTCTAGCAAATGTTTTGATAATCTGTTTTTGGAAACCCTAGTGCGAAAAGATAACGGCCTTTATTGTGTTAGTTTGGATTGATTGGAAAGAGGTGAGTGTTTATGGCTTCAGGTCCAAGACCATTGCATTTTTTCAGGTTTTGTTGTACTATTTTCTGTCTTTCTTTATTGAAGGTATGTTTGATTCATATTAGGAATCCTCAGTGAACTGGTTTTGGACATTTGGTTCCCTGATTGCCCTTGCTATATAGACAATTGTTGCTTGTGAAGTTGAAAGGTTTCTTGAAATGTAAGAATCTTGATATATTGGTTCTCTTGAAATCTGATCAGAAGGCAATATCCGTACTTTCTGGAGCTGCGTTTTTGGCTAAAAGTTTGGTTCAAGGCTCCATTTATAACTAAGACTTGCGATGACGAAGAGGGATATTTTGAGGCTGAATGATTTAGGATATCAGTTTTGCTTTATGTTTGTTCTCATTGGAGCTTGTTCAATCAAGTTTGCGAATTCTATTTCTTGTAATGCAACATTAAATCCAAAATGTTTTTTCACTGAAAAAGATGAAACCCCAAAACAAAGTGATTATTGAAGCCAAAAGGGTCTCTGAGATGGTTTAAAGCATCTAAAATTGTAGTGGTTAATCTTCACCAGAAAATTGATGCGTATAAAATTTGGCACCATCTTTTGTGAATTTAACAAGTTTTGGAATGTAAAAATTTGTTCGAATGTTGGAAGGTGACAGTTTAACTGTATGCAATGGTTTTTAGAAACAACAATGTGGACTCCTCCACATTGGTGTCATATTTGAACTCTTTTTGGCAGAGTAGATCAGGTTCTTGTCTTGTACTTTGCAATGGCAGGATAATTCTGATAATCTTCCATGTGACAGGTTATCCTATGCCACCTCCAGAGAAGCCCTCTGTTGGTGCTGCTAGTTTTCAACCACCAGTCCTGAACACATATCCAAGTGGTACTTCAGTCCCAGGTGATTTTTTATGTGATAAGCATTTGTACCAACCAAGGGTTTAAACGAGTCCCTGGAATCTTCTGTTCCCAGAGGTTTGAGTTTGTCGTATGTATTTTTGCAGGTCATGGTGTAAATAACATAATTCCTGGCAGACCAGATATGTCTGCGTTCAGTTGGAGGCCTGCTTAAAAGTGGAGAGTCCTTTAGCTCCGTGGTTTGTTTTGCTCTTTCATGTTTTACAGAATTTAGTAGAATTGCAGCTGCTTCGCCTCTCTAGACTCCTCAATATTTACGGATTTCTGTTTTCATTTTAAGGATATTCTAGGTTCTCTTTCATCCAAGGTGATATCTCTGCACGTCCATTGTCATTGGAGTAAGCAGTAATAGTAGTTAAAAGCAAGAGAACAAGTCACTTAAGGGAGAGGCGCAGTGATGCACTAATCTTGCACTTATTTTAATCTAATCGAAGTGAGTGCGATATATTACATGCAGCCAAAGGACAAAAAGCAGTGCTTTTGAATTGTTTTGGTTTCTAGGATTGTCTATTTTCTGCTTTGACAATTGGATCTCTGTTTACTGTCCATTTGGACCACTAGATGAATATAATTCAGTTGAGTGGGAGATTCTACTTGTCAAAAACATGAATAAAAAAATAATTGAATGAAAATATGGGGAGGTGCGCAAGATGGTACGATCTCTAACTTAATCCTGTATGTCATCTTAAACAACAACTCAAACACAAATAAATTGATCAATATGTGACCAAGACCAGATCCCTCTCTCTCGCGTCCCTTCATAGCTGTGCCCTGTGTTCTGTTCTTCTTTCCTTCTCCTTTGGACTCTTGCCTTTCTTCCATTCACATTTTCTCTGGAAACTTGGCTTGAAGTACTTCTGGCATACTCCTTTTCTCCTCCTCTTTTTCCTCATTGTCTCCAACCTAAACTGTTTTGCTGTTTCTCAGTTTTTGTTCATTGCTTCATTTCCATTCACCCAAAAAAAAAGAAAGAAAGAAAGCATTTGTTGAGTGTGATATTCAATGTGCTGGATTTAGCAGAGAGTCATTGAGATTTAACTAGCTATGTTTAGCTGCAGGTTTGAAACTAATTTTCAGCCAAGTGGTCGATGTTAAGAAACTGAAGATGAAGATTGAAATTTTACCTAACAACGCTGTGTGTTGAAGCTGAATTCTGTCAAATTTTTTGTTCTTTGTACAATAAGGATGAAAGGCGATCTACATAAAGCATGCACTTTTGCTTAGAAAATCATGCATTTTACTCTTAAGCCTGGGAAGTCCCTTGTGCTTAGTGCAATTGTGCCTTAAACTACTCTTGCCCGGTCCATCTTGTATGTTAGCCCCACCTACTTCTCATTTGCAACATTTTTAATGTTTGAGCTCATGGTCCCTCATCCTTTGGTTTCTAAAGTTAGATTTTGTCATCTTTTTCAGGCTGTGGGAGATCATTGATACTGGATTTTTCGGGGAAACTCACCACCCAATGCTTATCTGTAACTTGCGAATTGGATCACAGCAAAATGAATGTGTTCAGAAATTTTGATGACCCTTAACAGGATTGTGTATATTGTAATTTTCCTGACAAAAGCATCCTGCAAACATATGCTTCGAATTGTAAGCCATTTTACTCTGTAGACTAAGTCTTGTAATTATTCCAAATTCATATAGGAATGAACTTAGACACTGACTTTTAACCATTTCTGGTATTTTTTACTCAAGACTCTTCTTCCCATCCCCATTTCATTCTATCTTCGTACTTCATGTCCTTTCTGATTGCTTGCCTGTTATTGATGCCAAATTATGAATAAAAAATGTATGAATCGTAAGTGGTCTGTGTAAGCACATGCTTTCAGTTGAATAGTTAGTTTTTTGTTTGTTTAATTTTACTTTTTCCTTCAGTTAGATCTGGAAATTGTGCTTCTACTATCTCCATGTCCTGCGCCCCAGATTTTCTAATAACCGATCTTTCCCTACTCAACTAGTCTTCTTGATCTTATCTGGTATTATTCTGTGTATAAAGCCTTTGCATGGGAACCCTGAGGTCCAAGGCCCATGCAAGACTAGTAGTAGACAAAATTAGTTATATCCATCTTGTTGACAAATTCATCTTTGAAGCAATATATGTTTCCTTATTACCATTCACTTTGATCCTGAGAAAGGAAGGAAGGGGGGGGGGGTAGTTGACATAGATGCAGGTTTCTACATGTTCATTGAATTGTTGCTTTTTATAGCTCAAGGTATGTATGGTTTTTATGCTTATTGGAGGCTATACACCAGTGAAAAACTGAGACAAAAGTTAGCTACACTGTCCTTTTCTGTCTCGCTTGAACATACTTTTATTCATTGTTTTGGAATGGTTCGATTTGTTATTCACATTTTTGCCTTGGTAAGACTGAGGAGAAAAATGGAGTCTTCAAGTTGTTTAGTTTGATTCTGGAATGCAAGTGTATCCACACTTTGTTCTGATTTTAATGTCCTTGGATGCTTGTTATTTCGGATAAACTTTCGTGAAATTTATATATACTTAGAAAGCAGAAAGTCAATCAAATTCTGATCTTAGCTAGTGGTGATCAGGGTTCTTGTCTTCACTTACACCCTCGGCTTAATTGGATGAAGTTCATTCTTCTTGTGGAATAAAGTGAAAAAAGTCATGCTGCTAGACATACTGAATTTGCTCAAGGTTTTTCTCTTCGCTGGAAATTTCAAATTTTTTTATATAATTGGTTCTTGGCTTCCCAATTTACAATTGTTTTGAAATTCTTAACTGTTTTTCTATTGATATAGCTGATTCCTTCTTTTTTCTTCCCCATAATTTTTAAAAGTTATTTTGAAAGCGAAATAAAATTTTCACTAATTGTTTCTTCGATGAGAAAAATGGGAGGAAGATCGGTGATGATGTAACTAATGCTAGAATACGTGAACTAAATGCTGGTACCCTAGTTGTTTTTTAAAAGAAGTGCATCTTCTTTTAGGAGCATATAAATCTTCTATTGATCTAGATTGGCATGCTTCTAATTTGAGCCCCAATTGACTGTATATGTGCATCTTCACAGCATGGCTTACATGCATGATGATAATAGAACAAATCTTTGTCTACTCATGGGAGTATGGCCTTTGAGTAGTCTTTTGGTTTTGGATGCATCATGTGTTTGAGAGAGACAGTATGGGAAACCGAAAGTGGAACTGGTGTATCTGCTAGATTTTTTTTTTTTTTTTTTAATAATTTCATTTCGTTTCAAAGTCCAGTCAGAATCTCCCTTCTATCCTTCAATAAAAATTATAGTTACTGTAAAATGAGTTTCTTCATTACAGTGCTGAGATATTGAGAGTTTTATGGTATTTGGTAGTTCAAGTTAGTTGCTCGATTATTGGGCATGATTATAACCTTAGATTTTATGCATTCGGTTTCTTCCTTTTTTCCCCTTTCTGGGTATAAGATCATCCTTTCAGGAGTTGAATAGAGTTATGTAAAATCCCAATTCTTTGCAGTAGGATACAAGAGTGACCTGAGGCTGTTGTTCCTGCTGGTGGTACGAGTGTTTGAGGTATTGAGATGGAGTAACTCCATATTTGGTGATGCGTCAAGTGGTGGGAGAATGTGGATGGAGATAAAAAAAAACTTTGGGAACCATATGTGTCCATGTGTGTCAGATAAGAGAGTTTATGTGTTTCTTTGTGTGGAAGCAATTAAGTACTAGGCCCTTCTCATGAAGGGCATGTTGTGATGGTTGTGGTGACCATATAATCATATGATAGTTGTAGAAGTTCATATATATCATGCTGGATTAATCTCTTCCTACATTTAGGCTTGCTTTGAGGTAACAATCGAGTTAACTCTTTTTCCAATTTTCATGCTTGTGGTATAGAATCTCATTTGGTTTTGCGGTACATTGACTTAAATTATGAGTACCTGTCAGATTACATGAAACAGAGGAACAATGTCATTTTTCCAACCATGGATCAAATGGGTGTAACCTCATGTTATACTGAAATTAGAAAAGAAAACCTGAAGAAATAGGGGGTGGTGATGCGTACAATTTGAATATTTGATGTTCTATTGTAGTTATGAAAGAGCTATAAAGAAGTTGAGGCAAGAGGGAGAAGCCTAATAGCTGGTGCTATTAGAGATAGTTAAATTCTGTGGCCTACATCAATAAATGCCAACAATTTAAAATATATGCATAAATGCAATTGAAAACTTTCCAGAATTGCTGTATGTACATCTATGATTCCAATTAAAGTATACTTACATTAAAAAGAAATGTAAAATATGTAATATGCTAATACTCTTTTTATCCTAATATGGTAGTACATATGCTATAACATTTTTTGCATGGTGGTCCCTTGTGCTCCTCAATTTTGAGCTGTAACCTTTGCTTTTTGATACAAGGTGTTGTCTGGTAAGGTAGGACACTAATTTGGGGTAAAAAGTTTCAGTAATAATCTTTGACATTGACACGTGTATACAAAAGACATGCCTATAATGTAGAAACAGAATGTAGCCAATTTATGAGGAGATGGGAGATTTGTTGGCATATGAATTAGTACAGCTACCACATTGTGGTACAACCACACCGTTCTAGCAAAATAGTCAACGTGTCTGGTTTTTATAGAACATCTGCATCCATTTGTGTGCATCAAGAGTTGGAACACGTTATATGTACCTTTACACCTCATCTAACAGGTGCATATCGTGCTTCACTACAAAATTTACCAATTGAACTCTTGCAGGTAGTTTAAATAGTTAGTACCAGCTGTAAAATAATTTGGATATTGTGTTCACACTCAGACTGCTCAATGCACCTGACTTTTACCTTGAAGATAGCAAGATTAGTCTTTCTGCTCGTATCATGTAGGACATAGCAAGTACCTGCGGCTTGTGGATATTGATTTTCCGTGTGCATCTGTAAGCAACATGATTAGATTGCTAAACCATAATATTTAGAGAGAGAGAGAGAGAGGTACAGTATGTTGTGGTAGATTTGATGTAAAGCAGGCGGCTAAAGTTGGAAACAAATTGATTGTTTATGATTGTTGGGTAAAGGCAGGAAGAGGGTGTAACTATATTTGAATTGATTGTGATTATCAGGGAAAGGAAGAAAGGGTGTTAACTATATTTGGCTGGATGCTTGTAATCTAAGAGAATGCCTGAAATTTGAGATTTCGGCCATCATTGAGAGAGTAATTTTGGAGCAACCTATACATGCCTTGTGAGGTTACAAGAAATTTGATAATCAAAGAAAGGAATCCACATAAGGACAATGACAGGTAGTTATTTGCATAGGATCAAAACTGTGTGACGTTATAGTTATCTATATTACTGTACATATATAACCATGTACATTTGTTCATTTGTTTGACTGAATTTTGTATTGACTTTTCTGCTCTTCAGGTGACCAGTTTGGTATCCTGGACCATGAGTATTCTTGTTTTTGGTTTGTCTAATCCTGCACCACATATGAAACTGCTACATTTTTCTTCTAACATTAAATAACATGCAGTATTTTGGAGTTTGGAGGAACCATACTACATGACACTGGACATGTTGTGTCAGTTGTTTTTCCCTTTATTTACCTCCAAGTGTTTGATGCAAGGGTCGAGGTACTTTTCTTGAGAAGGATTTACTCCTGATTTCTTATTTGCTAGAACATACATGATAACTTTGATCCCATATATTGTTTTATGTATGAAGCAGGGGCGGATTTACACTGGGGGCACTGGCCCCCGCTGCCCCCCTTAAATTTCTATAATACATATAAAAATTTGATATAATTTCGAGTGTGCCCCGTAGTTTTGTGTATTTATTGATTTATATGCTCCTAAAGTTGTCTTTAATTTTACCTGTTGCTACAGCTACCGTAGAAAAGGCTTTTTCAGTTATAAATATAGTGAAAAATTGGTTACGAAATAGAATAGAAGACACTTGGATGAATGATTGTTTAATTACTTTTATTGAGAAAAATATATTTCGTGAAATTCAAAATGAAAAGGTTGTAAACCATTATCAAAATATGAAACCTCATCATGAGCAATTGTAAATGGTTTAGTTTGTTTTTTGAAATAAAATTATTATTACATTAATAATTTTGAGTTTGTCTTTTTATGTTTTTCATGGAATATATGCATCATTTGTACTTGGTGGTGAATATTTTTTTCTTAAAAAACTAGAAAGAGAGTAGTAAAAAATTTTAGAGTTATTTTTGCCCCCACTGAAAATTTTTTTTTGGCTCTGCCACTGGTATGAAGAGAGGGACATAGTGCTAATGACAACAGCCTTTGGGACCTTTCAACATAATGACTCAGTGTTTATTAACCGGAGTTTCAAGTTTAAGCTATACTGAGAACAGTGAATGCATGTTACATTTTATGGATGTACCTGAGCTTTATACGCCATCTATAGCGTGCTATGTTCTTTTAATTAGAAAATCTCTCTCCTTAGGTAACTATGCTACATATACGTTGTTTGTCATGTTTTTAACTGGCTTAGGTGTCATTTTGACTGGAGTTCATGGCTAAATTATCTTGTATCCGCTTCTACTCATCTCAGAGGCTTTGAAAATCCTTAGGCTGTTGGACAGTAATTGTTCACTCTATGCTGGTAATCTGCATCAGATTTGCTTTTATTGTGCAATTGCTTTTTCCCCAGAGCAAGTTAAAGATGGTGATCAGCACGAGCGTGATTGTCAAGTTAAAGGTAATGATTTGCTTTTATTCTGCAAGTTGAAAGGTAGTGACCAGCACATGAGTGCATTTAGGATGGTACTGGTACTCCTGCAAATAAAGGGATTTTTGGATAGTTGCCATGTAAGATTGCCAGAATATATGGACTGTTGAGATACCATTCGAAAACCTGGAGATATATATGGAATGGTAAATGATAAAAGCTTCTTAAGGAGTTATAGGAAAGCAGAAAATAAATAGTTTTTTTGGTTTAATTAAATAATTAAAAATAATATAAAAAATAATAATATATAAAAAATAAATATTTCTTGAAAAGAGTTTTTGTGTCAAGGGAACTAATCAGCCAACAGAGTTCAGAAGCTTTGAATGTCCATGCTTCTGGGGGTGGCTGTCAGAGACAAGGGGAGACATAATATAAGGACTAAAGCCTTAGATGATGGAGTTCCAGTTTGTCTAAGAGGAATAAGTTTTCTGATGATCATGCTAATTTAGTAAAGGAGGCAATATGAGCATCTAGTTCAAGCAGTTGTTCCTTCTATGTGGAAGGTTCATGTGAAAGGATAGTTGAAGAGTGTTCTTCAAGGCAAATAAGTTGTGGATGGGGTTCAAAGACTGGTAAAAATATCGTCCTCATTCTGCAGAAGATCTCACAAATGGAGATGCAGACCGATGGTAGCTGCTGGATCCAAGAGCAAACATGAGAACTTGTATTAGGTTCATAATAGTAGTGGCTGAGCTCCAATGTCCTCGCCATGTCATGACTCTCGGGCAATGTTGATCTTTCTGTGTCAAACTCAGCAATCTCGAGATGATGCTGAGAAAAGAATTGCTTATGGTAGTAACCATTCATCCCAAAATGTTGATTTTTTTTTAATCTATTTCTCAAAATCAACATGTCATTGTCAATCGGTATAATATTTGGACAAAGCAGATGTGGCTTTTCCTGAAGGGGCTAGATATAGAGTTGCATGATTGCGTGGTGGTCAAGATCTTCTCAGTTTGCTCTAGGTATAGATCTTGTAGCTGGAAACCTTTAGATTTTAGCTTGTCCTTTCCATAGTTTGTCTAATCTGTCTGTCTTAGCATAGTTAATAAAGCGAAAACCAAACTTTTCTTCAACAAATTTATGTGTGCAAGTTAGGATTGTGCACTGCCGTGGAAGTCTTAGTGAATTGTTTCCTTGGAAAAGGTAGAAAATGGGAGATGGACATGCTATTATGTTGTAACAGCCACCCAGTAGAGCTTTGCCAATGGGATTTGGTCGCTGTGTCTCTGTATTTTAATATGTACTTGATTCTTCATTGTTCCATGATTCGTATAATCAGCCGTTTCTTTGATATCCAAACTGCAATCTTTTTATCTCCTTTGCAATGCTATTGACATTTTCTGGGATGTCCTTTTGGTAATATTGAGCATTAATGTTTGCACAGTATACATATTCTGTATATAAACTCACTTTCCTACTCGTGTATCTGGATTAGTCTGATCAACTTTTTCACAGTTCCTGAAGAAAATGTTTTTGTTATTGCTTAGATACAGGTAGATATGTCTTGCTTGCTTTCTGCTTGTCTCTTATCTTTGTCATAAACTCAAAATTAAATATGATTCTTTTCCTTGTTAGATCATTAAATTTTATTTGTATTTTGTTGTTCTAATAACTCTTGAACATTTTTTCTTTTCCCCCCAGCAATGCTACATTTCTGTTGCCTTGCTTTTTCCCAACTCGTGTCTTTCAAGAAGAAGAGGAATAGGAAATCAATCGTCCTGCATTCAAGGAAGCTGCTGATTTATCATATCCACAGCATACCCCTGGTGCAGGAGATTTTGACAATTTCTATTCCCTCCAAATGAGAAATGCCACATCTTAGAGGATGTAGATGGTCAGCTTGAAATGGGATGTGTCTGAACACCAAAAGGATCAAAGATCATCAATGACTGGTGATGCCTCGGGGACTGATCCTAGTAATGCAAGTTTGGTCAAGATAGTCAAATCAACTCTAAGCATCCCTTTTGAATTGCCTACTGTTCCTGGGGCATTTCCTCCACAGCCTGTAGATTCTCCTGCAACCCCACCTTTGACATCCTTACTGCCTCTTGTCATCACTGCAGCCTCCACTCTCCCATTGTCTCGAGCTCCACATCCTCCGTCGCCAGCCCTATTGGAGCCACGTGCAATTCTGTCCTCCTCAAGTTTTGCCTCAACCATATCTACCATCGCTGCCGTCAATGGCGTCTCAACATTTAACCTGCATCCGTGTTCAATTTTAGCCTTATCGGTGGTGGCATATCAAAATGGTCCTGTGTTAACTGAAATTGGTGGAAACCCAAGTATAAGGGTTGAGACTTTCCTTCCCTTCATACTCTAATTGCTGCTCATCCACCAGGGTTATGGGACAGCATGGATGTAAATTTTTTTTTATTTATTTATTTATTAACAGGGAAACCCTCTTACAGAATTGGTTGGAAATGCTTTTCATGGATCTCTTATTGACGAAATGTTTGCTCAGCAGGCACCTTTTGTGCCAATTGGTGTAGAAAGCTCACAAGAATGCTTTTGATATTATTGAACAAGGTCTTTGGAATATGCAATTCCAACAAGGTCTTTGGAATATGCTCTTGATATTATTGAACAAGGTCTTTGGATATGATAAGGTGTGCAAATTTACTAGCTGCTGAACCCAATATGCAATTCCAGTCTGGAAATCTGCCTTTCGCTCAAAGGCCTTTGCCACCATGCCTCCAACCTCAATGTACACCAATTCATTTATCCTGTCCACAGTCCATAATCCAGCGACTTTCTCCTGCAGCTCAGTTTCATCATCTTCCAGTTCAGAATCCTCTGCCTGTTATGCAGCAACCTCCACCTCCTAATTTTGCTGGTGGACCAAGGCAATTTTCTGTTGATGAACAATGGAGGAGGATGAGCTTATTGACTTTAATTCTGATCATCGTGGTGTGTGGATGCATGGAGTGAGATTGTGTTCAGGTCCAGCTTATGCCCAGGATGGTGTGTATATATCATTTGTCATATAACATTTCAATGTGGAAAGTTTACAAGTTAATTTATCTTGTATTATTTTATATTAGCAAGCTAATATGTTATGTTGTTGGAGTAATTTTGATGCATAATGCTTACCTAGCTTTGGCTGGCTATATGATTGTTCTAAAGACCCATATCTACTAAGTAGACGTGGTCTGAGTTTCTGTTTCAGCATCAATAGACAGAGATAATGAGCCAAAAATTACTTGGGTTTGCATTTCGCAGCTTTAATGTCAGACTATTATTTATCTGCAGTACTAGCAAATGTTTTGGTTCTGTGTTTGGAAATGATAGGATAACCCTAATGCGAAAAGATAACAGCCTTTATTGTGTTATTTTGCTTGGATGTTAAAAAGGTGACTCTTGTTTGGCTTTCGGTCAAGACTATTACATGTTTTTCAGGTTTTGTTGAACTGTTTTCTGTGATTCTTTTCTTTTCTTTTTTTTTTAATCAAAGTTATATTTCAATTGGTATTAGGAATCCTCATTGAACTGATTTCAGGACATTTGTTCCCTCGATTCTTCAGCCCTAGTTGTATGAAGTTATAAACAATCGTTGCTTACCATGAAGTTGATTTATTGGTTTTCTTGAAGTATGATTAGAAAGCAATATATGTCCTTTTTGGAGCAGCATTTTAGGCTAAAATTTGTATTTGAAGACAACCATTTATAACTAAGATTTGCAATGACAAAGAAGGATATTTTGAGGATGAATGATTAGTATCATTTAGGGAAACTATCAATTTTGCTCTATGTTTCTTCATTGCAGTTCGTTTGATCAACTTTTTCAATTCTATATCCTGTAAATGCAACATAACATTAAAAAATGAAAAAATAAAAAACCAAAAAGAGAAAAATAAAAAACAGGTCATTTGTGTTGGGTGTTGTCTTGTCACTGAAAATTTTGGAAGTCCAAAACAGAGTGATAATTGAACCCAAAAGAGTCACTCTGGTGGTTGATCTTCAGTAGAAACTTGGTATGTGTGAAGTTTGGGAGTTTGAACTTAATCTTTTAGGAATTCAACAAGTATTTGTAAGCTGAAAAATTACTCAATGTTGGAAGGTGACAGTTCAACTATGTACAGTGGTCTATAGAAATAACAATGTGGACTCTTTCACATTGGTGTCAGAATAAAACCCTTTTTCAGCAGAGTAGATCACGTTCTTGTGTCTTACTCTGTATTGATGTGGATAATTCTGATAGCCTTTCATGTGGCAGTTTATCCTACACCACCTCCTGAGAAGCCCTGTATTGGTACTGCTAATTTTCAACCATTGCTCCTGAGCAGGTATCCAGGCGGTACTTCAGGACCAGGTGATTTTTGAGGTTTGATAAGGATTTTCTGACCAAGGGTATACATGAGTCCCTAAATCTTGCATTCTCAGTGGTTTGATTTTGTATTATGTATTTTTGCAGGTTGTGCTAATGGCTTGATTCCTGCTGGCCATTTTTGTCTGCATTCAAAGTCCTTTGGTGAGTTTTGCTCTTTCATGTTTTGCAGAATCTTGTGGACTTGCAGCTGCTTCACCTTTCTAGATTTCTCAATATTTGAGGGATTTTTATGTTCATTTTTAAGGATAGTAAGCGAAATGGTATTGATAGTGGTTAAAAGTGAGAGAAGGGGTCACATATGCAAGAGATGCAGTGATGTGCAAACCTTACACATCTTTTTCTAATCGAAGTGAATGCAAAATATCAACCACAGTCAAAGCACGAAAATCTGTGCTTTTAAATTATGTTGGTTTTCATTGTTGTCTATTCTCTGTTTTGATCATTGGATCTCATTTTACTTTCCATTTTGACCACTGGATAAATATACTTCTTTGAGATGCTAGATGTCAAAAACATGACAAAAAAAAAAATCTATTCGGTGAAAATATGTTGATCTCTTTTACTTTCCATGTCAGTGCACCGATTTTCGCAAAAAATTCATTATTTTTTAAGGAACTGTGAGATTTAACTAGCTGTAACTATCTGCAAGGATGAAAATTGATATTTTACCTCATCAGGCTGTGTGCTGAAGCTGAATTCGCTCTAATATCCTTTTCTTTTTGTCAATAAAGAATGAACTGTGATTTACATCAAGATATGCTTTGTTTGAAAAATCATGCAATTTATGCTTAAGCCGAGGAGGTCCCTTGCATATAGTGCACTTTCTGCCTTGAACTACTTTCGCGGATATTTGCCTGGTCCTATCTTGTACGTTTGCCTGAGCTACTTTTGACTCTACAACATTTGTAATGTCTGAGCTCATGCTCCCACATCCTTTGATTTTTAAGGTTGAATTTTGTCATCTTTCTCAGGCTGTGGGAGATCATTGAAGCTGGATTTTTCGCGGATATTCACCACCCAATGCTTATCCAACATGCCAATTGGTTGTTGACAAAATGAATGTTTTAATGATCCTCAACGGGATTCTGTATAATAATTTTTCTGACAAAAGCAAAATATATGGTTTGAAATGTTAGCAATTTTGATCAAGTCTTGTAATTATTCGAAATTCATTAAACATTGCTGGCACTTTTCACAATTCTTCTCCACTTTGTCATTTCACTCTATCTTCGTACTTGGTTTCCGTTTCGATTGCTTGCCAGGTATTGATGCCAAATTATGAATAAGAAAAATATGGATTGTAAGTAATATGCGTATCCACATGTTTTCAGTATGATGGATGGATAGTATTTTGTTTGTCTAATTTCTTACTCCCTTTAGTTATATCTAAAAATACACAATTTCTATTGATCTCCTTACCCTCTGCCCCACTGTTTCTAATGACTGATCTTTTTACTACCCCACTAATCTTGATCTTCGTTTGATCAAGAAACTATACAAAGGCTTGCATGGTACCCCTGAGGTCTCATCTTTTTCTTGCGAAAGCTCAGATGTTAGCTACTATGTTTCTTTTTGCCCGTATGCTCGCTTGAGGTAACAGTTTAGGAAATGTTTTTGCACATTTATGCTTGTGGTGCGGAGTCCGATTGCTTTAACGATGCATTTACTTGCAATACAAAGCCTGGCAGATTACACGAAACAGAGGAACAATGTCAAATGTCATTGTTCAACCCATGGATCAAATTGATGATGACGTTCTTATATATTGAAATAAGAAAATAGTAGTATTAGATGTTGTTCTATTACAGTTGTAGTGACATTGTTTGGGGCAAAAAGAAAAGCTGTGGGCGCAGAGAGGAAGAATCTTATAGTTGGTGCAATGCGCTGTAGTTGAATTCAATGGTCTGCATCAAAAAATTCCAAGAATATAAAATTCCTGTATAGATGGGATTTGAAAACTCTCCAAAATTACTAGATGGGCGTCTGTTATGCATTAATTGACCAGTAATTGACTTTCTTTTCTTGGATTTTTTCATAAGATATATCCTAATATATTCAACTTAAAAAGGACTCAAATTAATGTTGATCAATAGATGAGGGGTCCATAAGCGTACTATGAAGGGTGATGATATTGTTAAAGTCGAAATTTTCCTATCAGAGTAATTTTTTTTGGTAAAATATTTATCTTATACTCTAATAATCAACAATCAATATTACTATTGACTATTATTATGTGTCTAAGAATCTCCTCTTTTTATGATGAATGATAATTCACGATCAGAGTTTTTCGTTTAAGTCTTATTAGTCATGCACACGCAAACGTACACACACACATTCTAGTTGTCTAACATTTAATCTATACAATTAAATAAAATCCTTTTTTGTACTTTAGGATGCAGGAAGAAATCCGAGTTTTGAATTGGTGGCTTTAGTATAAATTTGTGAAATATTTGTTGTTGCAAGGTCTTGTAAACTCGATAGATCACAAGAAACGATTTTGATTTTGGATAGTGAACCTCGACCAATCTTGGCTTCAATCCTGACCTGCTCATTCGAATCCGTTATGAATCTTTCAGAGTTGGTCAATGTTGATTGAATTTCTTGTACCATCAAAGTGAAGTTTGGCCTGTTTCAATCTCTGCATCCTTCAGCCCTTTCTTCTGCAAGTTTATTGTTGGGATCGTGATCCAAGCAAAAGAGGGAATTAAACGGAACTATGATTTTGTCAAAGTTCTACTAGTTAAGGATTTTAAACTATTGCCAAATAGGCAATTCAATACTTGCGACGGTGAGAGGAGAGAAAGGGGAGAGCTAGAAAAGGAGTTTTTTAGTGGGCTCCATGAAGTTTAACCAGATTATAGACATTTGACTGCCGAAGGGAAATTTTCCCTTTAAATAAAAAATGCTTTGAGGAAAAAAAAAAATTCTTTCTCGAATTTTTATTCATTTTCGAGTTTAGCACTAAACTGACTAGTTCACGGTTGAACTGGCTGGCTAGTTTGATCCAATTCTGAAAACACTAAAATTAAGAAGAGTTTCAATGTCCTGAATGTAATCTTCTTAACTAATTTTTAGTCGTTTGGAAACTAATTAAATTAAATCTACTTAAAGGTTTTACACAAGCCTATTTAATTCCTTAGGAGGCATTCATACATGTACAAAAATGGACATCACTAAGCCACAGCATTAGCAAATAAAACTGCTTGTCCGTCTTCAATGTCGCCTTTAGAACTGTCAATCGTGATACATATTTGCAATTGCATTGACCATGAAATGTGACAATTGAACCATGGTTTCAGTGACTTTGTTTTTGGTTAAGCAAATCTTCAAACCATCTACAGCCCCAAATGATGCATGTGTAAAGGTGGAAACTGAATATTGTATATCTATAACAATCTTTTTGAGCTAGGAGAATATTTGTTCGTCTCTATAGACCTGCCATATTACTCAAAATCAGATGAGTTAGGAGAATATTTATCTGTTTTCCTTCAGTAAAAATATGGTTACATGACGGGTTGAGGATGAATAGGACACTAAACTTACTCGAATGGTTCAATCATTAAACAAATATCAGTCAATCAAAGGTATTGTTGTAGAAGAAAACTAATTAAACAATCTCATGTTCAATCATCAGTTTAACTTGAATGGTCGCTCCCATCCAGTTTACTTGTAGCCAGGGTTCAAAGTTGCAGCCACAGTCACGATCGCAGTCGTCACCATTCCACATCGGTTTTGGTGGAGCAACTATGGTCTCGATGAGACGCATATTAATCATACAAAATTTCAAAAAAAAAAAAAAAAACATACAATGCATCTTAAAATAATTCTTTAATATATTTGTAAAAATATAAATCTAACTCACTTTATAGCACATTTGTACTCAATAATTAAATATTTTTGTCAACCTGACAACAATCAGCAAATAAAGATTACTTGTTAGTAAGATTTTAGATTGATATTTTGGCAACCATAATGTATTTGAAACTACAATAATTATTAAGTAACTTTATTTTTACGTGCACATATGCTCAAAATCAGTACCTCATAGATAAATTATAACATTTAAAGATTTCAAACACAATACTTAAAAAGTTTTGGCCTTCAAAACATTTATCATTCAAAATGCAATATTATGTTTGTCTCTCTTATAGATTTAAGAAAGCTATCTCTAATTTTATCCCTTAAAAGATAGGATAACGTTTTGAGTAAATCTTATATACACTAACATTGTATACACTATCACCATTTGATTCGTAATATGTGTACAAAAGTTGAATGTCAAATTCAAATTTTGCATAGTTATCATTTCTCCAACATCTATATCTATATCTATATGTATTCAAGAAAGGGTTTTTAGCAGAAACCTTCTCAATGGCTTCTAAATTTCTCATTCTTTTTTCTAGATTTTTGTATTTATTTTAATACATAAAAAGTAGTGGGTTATAACCCACCTTATCACCAATTAAATTTAAATTTCAAATATTCCCACTATCTCTTAACTCATCCTTCAACCACTCTTACAAATCCTCTAATCATCATCCCATGTTTCCCCTACATTTCCTCTCACGTTTCTCACTCCAATTAAGAGTTCTCCAATTTAAGAATTCCACCCCTATTAAAACTCCTCCAAACATAGCATGCTCCTTCAATTTTCTTGCATGCTCATTCGTATTTTTTGGTTAACCAAAACAAGAATCTATTATCTCTTCATCTTTCTTGTGGTGTCAATCTTAGTCTTTATTATTTTCGATTATTTCCAATACCATAATTGTGACGTCCCACTTCTCCCTAAGGCGAACCAAATGGTATCCGCGGGACGCCAGCCAAACTCTCGCCAGGACTCAAGCAATTTCTATTCAAGCTTATAACGGTGCTAAAAGTCGATAACCAGCAAATACACATACAAGTAGCGCAGAAGCGTTCAAGTTTAATGATTTTTAACAATCACCCAATCCTTATATCGGGTTTCCATAATACAACCCAAAATATACAATATCCAAAAGTCTAGATAAAAGAGTTGGAACCCTATTACATGAGTACACAAAAGAGAAATTCCTCCGAACCTCATTCCAAGTCCAAACCTGTTAAGGAAAACAAATCTACAGGGTGAGCAAAACGCTCGTGAGGCCAAGAACATACATGCAAGCACATTGATCAAGTAACAACCCCAATTTAACAAGTAAAGCATCAATATTGTAATAAATAACAATTCAAGCGGAAAGTAAGTAGAAACAATTCAAGGATATCGGAGCTCTCAGGAGCTAATTTCCACTTGCTTTGCCAATGTCATTCGTATACCTTCCCGCGATGACACTCCGTCAACCGGGTCGGTATTTCCATTCCGTAGATCACCACTTACTTCCCTCCGTCCACCGTGTACCTCCCGGGCCCGCAAGATATTTATAAGGCGATACTCCACGAGTATGCCAAGCAAGACCTCTCATTAGGTCAAAGTTCATTATCTCATGGCTCGCCAAGGTTCCCGACCAATCCCATGCCGGCTCGAGTCCAATGTCGGCCGATGAGTTTGGGCGTCCCCCATTTTCATTTGAGAGTCGAGGAGATTCACTCGAACGATGTATGCAGCCATAGCATACCATTTCATTTCATTCAATCATTTCATTTCATTCGATTAAGTCATTCATTTCAAATAAGGACGAATGCGGTAAAGTACACACTCGCCTCCATTTTCAAAATCTCCGAACAATCATAACAATTAAATTTGTATCAAGTATTCATACACTTGACACTCACCAATATAAGCAATGAGGAAGAAATGTCCCTCGGAGCTTTAGGCGTTCACTGTGGGATCCTCTTGAAGGTCCTCGTGTGCGCCTGAGCAAATAATAACAGACTATCATTCACAAACCCCTACTATTAAAGAAGATCGTACTATAGTACAATTTTAGAAAGTCTCGTGAAACGAGTCTAAATTATCCTAAATCGAGGCTCTCAAATGGTTTTTCAAAGTACAAGAGAAATTTAGTTTTCATCTTGGAAATCAGGTATAAAACGTTCAAGTAATATCGAAGGAATAAGGAGTACTTGAAAAACTCCATTTCCTTGAAATTCGGAAAATTTTAGTTTTGATACGATATTTTGAAAATTCGTATCTCACATTCCACATGTCGAAAATTGGAAAAATTGGTACCGTTGGAAACTTCTTCCAAGGTACTAAAAGTTCCTAGAATACACTTT